AGACCTAGATGTTGAGCACCAAACAATGACTCTGGAATATCTGTGAATGTAATAAGTGGTACTAGAAAATGTGAGCTAGTGAACTCTTCTTCTCTTTATGATTAAAGGGTAGAGAAGGCCCTAGAGGAGAATTAGGAGAGCGTGGACAGCCTGGAGTAAGAGGAGACAATGTAAGTAGGAATAGCTATTGTTTTAGTTTTAGAATGTAGCTTTGGCTGTGGAGCTGGAAAAAACCCACAGAAAACCTTGTTGTTGCTGTTACCATTACACAGGTACTTTTGATATGACTGTTTTTTTTAGACTTGAGATTTTGTTTTACCTTTCTGGAACTGTACTCTTTTCAGCCTTATCTTCCAGCAGCTGGAAGAGGCACAGCCATGTTATTGCATGTGTCTAGAGATCTCTTCCAGTAGCTGACTTGCAAAGAAAGCTGCAGAGAAGGTACCAAAGAAAGGGTATAAGAGCAATAGAGCCATTTGAATTTTTTTTAAAAAAAACTTTTACAAATGTTTACTTCTCTCCCACTTCCCACCCAACCCCACCCCTCCCAACTTTCCCTCCCCCGACTTCCCAGAACCTTATGGGTCAATCAAGATCCAATACAAGATATAAATCTTTAACAAAAATATTCTAAAGTAAACTTAAAAGTAAAAAATTAATATCCTCTATCATTTGAGCTTTAACTCCTCTTTGCTAGNATCCTAGAACAGGATTGATGTTTATGTGAAAAGACAGTAAGGTCTTATGGTCCCTTAAATGGTGGCAGTCCCCTGCAATTTTGCAGGGAGCCTTGTTCAGAGATCTGAACCATCTCACACTTATGACAGATGCATGCCTGACGGGGTGGGGAGTGCACATGCAGGAGCTAGTGGCTCAGGGTCAGTGGTCCTTTGATGAAAGCCAAAACAGCATAAATTGGCTAGAGTTGTGGGCGGTATGTCTCGCCCTCATTCAATTCCAACACATGGTTCAGGACAACCATATCCTAGTCCCAACAGATAACACCACAACCAAGGCACACATAACCAGGCAGGGGAGAACACATTTCTGGCCCTTAATGCAGGGGTCCACCCTGTTGTGTCAATGGGCAGAATCTCACCTGCCATCTCTCAGGGCAGAGCATATCTCAGCACATCTCCAACGTCCAGGAAGACTGGCTGAGCCAGACCAGGGTAGCCCTCAAGACCTACATAGACAGCACAGCTTTGCTCCACCATTCGGAAGCTCTCTTCGTGTCCTTTCACCGAGCCTCTTTGGATGACAAGGCTTCACCGTCGAGTTTGGGGCGGTGGATCAGGCCCTGTATTAAACTGGTTTATGAACTTCAGTCCTTGCAGGTACCTCTGAATATTGCAGCCCACTCTACGTGGAGTACTGCGACCACTGCTGCTTGGTCTACTCAAGCTCCATTGGAAGAAGTTTGCTGGGCAACCACATTGATGTCTCCCACAGTCTTCATATGTTATTACAAGTTAGACAAGTATGCATCATCTGATGCAGTCTTTGGGCACAGAGTGCTGCAACAAGTACTTGTGCCTTGACAGACTTTCTTTATCATTCCCACCCTAGTGGACAGCCCATTCTTTGGTACGTCCCATTCTGGCTGCTGGGTCCACGATCACAGGAGAATGGGTGTTGGTTCTTACCTAATACGCTCATTCTCTGCTGAAGTGGAGACAGCAGCCAAACCCACACTGGGGTATGTCACTCAGATATGAACTTTTTGTGCTGAGGAGAGAGAGTATGGACTTGATACATATACATTTTGATCTCATAATTCTCACCTGAGTCTACAGTCTGCTTCGTCTAAACTGGGAGGAGTCACCAAGGGCTCGATGACATCATAAGTGTAGACTCAATCCAGTTGGTTACTGGACAGAGCAAATCCATTCTGGCTGCTGTCTCCACTTCAACAGAGAATGAGCGTATCAGGTAAGAACCAACGGCCATTCTTTCTTAGAAGCTAACAATTTTTAGCCAAAATATTGATGGACTACAGTTCTTTGATGCATAATCACTCCAGTACTTAACAAGAAATACAGGGCATTCAATGCTGGAGATAAATGTTCTGAAACATCAATTTAAAAAAATCTAGGTACTTTAAGAAATGTTGAAATCTTGTGTGTCCTTAAGATTCACAACAAAAAGAGGAAAATCAATCAGCTATTTTACAAAGTACTTGAAGAAAAAGTTATTTCTGAATAACTGTAATAAAAGAATAGATTCTAACTTGTCTTATCTGTAAAAATGATGTCCTCTAGAAAGAATTTGAAAACATATTGGTTATAAAAATATTATATTTTCCCAGCTGTCCTGAAGGTTTTTAATTTTAGTGAAATGTGCTCAACATGTGTTAAAGAGACAGCTGATTCCAACAGCTTCCTTGCTTTAATTAAGAACACACCTACAAACAGCATTGCATCTCAGCTTTGAAAATATTTCAGGCTGAAAAAGCATCCATAGCTTATATGCAGTCATGACTTTACTTTATAGAGTATTCATCCTTAGGTAGGGACTGAATATATTAAAGTTGCTAAAATTCAAGAACAGCTGGAACAGTGAATAAGTTCTCTGGAGCCGTTTTACCTGTTATAGAATTAAATTAAGATGGTTCTATATCAATTATAAGCCTAATTACATCAATATTATTATTAAACATAAAACTCTACATCAGGAAGAACTTTGATCTACTATGTCTTAGATTCTAGTTCTGAAAATCTTTTTCCACTGGCTGTTCCAATTCTTTTTGATAGAAAAAGAATTCAAGATCATGTAAAAGATTATGTTATCCTAGGGAGTTAGTGAACTCATTTGTTTTCATCTCTTTAAGATGAGAACACATGGTTTGCTTTCATTATTGGAAGCAGTTTATTCTGAAGGAAGTGGGGTGTATCCTCTCCCTTATAGTCCTCTTCCCCATCCTCTCTTCAGAATATTTCTCAGGGCTGTACAACCCTCTTTAGTAAATGTTGAAAACATAGTAGTAACTACAATTAAATTTCTTTATACAAATGTTGTGGAGATTCTCTGTCATCCAGGTTGTTACATACTGACAGCCAAATAATGGGCTCCACCAAGATCTTCCATTCAGGCGGGATACTCAAAGCTCATTGGCAGAGCTGTCTGACAGCTCCCTATAAAAGGGCTAGCTGTCAAACAGGCCGGTGCTAGATTTGTAAATAGTTTTCTAATAAAGAGCTGTTGTTTGTCACTGAAGCCTGAGTTTTGTTTCATCCATTCACCCGATCTAACACTGGCGATGAAGGTGGGTTCGGAAGACAACTAGGCAGAAAGAGCTGACAATACAATCCAGCAGTACATCCCGTTGAAGTGATTGCGGGCATCCGAAAGAGAGCCATGTTCCTGAGCTACTGTGGGCCAGAGGTCTTTGACACAGTGAAGGTTCTATCTGAACTGACGTCAATCCAGACTGTCACCTAGTCAGCATTGCAGAATATGCTAAAAATGGACTATGCACCAAAGCCTTTTTAATTTGTGCGGTTTAATCTCTGCAACTAGAGAGAAGGGGAGACTATAAATCAATACATTGTCATGCTCCATAGCGTACTGCAAATTCTATCATCTAGACGAGCTGCTGTGGACTTCTGGGGTGATGTCACATTGGAGCAGTTACAGGACAAGTCTCCATTCTCCCTGTCTGATTTTTTGTGTCTGGAGGCTGGTAGGAGCAAAGCTGGGCCTTGGAAAGGACAGCGATAGAGAGGGGAGAATTCAATGGTGACAGGAAGAAGAGTCATCTCCAGTTGTGAAGGGTGGAATCCTTGAAATCTGACATAGACCAGCTGTCATGGCTGAGTCCAGAGACATGGCAGTCTGATTAATGGTGGAGGAAACAAAAGGTGAGAAGCAGCAGAAGTATCAGTAGGCAGTGTTAAAACAAAGTGTAACTCCGAGACACTTCTCCAAGGTGGTGGAATTTATGATAGAGCATTAAGTGAGTCTCCAAAGAGAGAATGAGTGGCTCCTGGGCAGTGGGGAGCAGAAGGAGGAAGAAGACTAATCACAGAATCTGTAGAGAGTGAAAGTGATTATGGTTGCTGAGTTGAGAATTTCTACTGATTTCTGAGACTGGATCTGCGGTGATATAAATTGAAAGTTGGTGGTGAATGGATTGAGAAAGAAGGAAAGAACAGGTTCCTTTTGCAATAGAAAAGACAGAGGTGGAAGAAAATGAAGAGAAAGGACAGTGACTGTGCAATTTGAGGGCAGAGGTCATTTTGAAGCACAGAGAACAGGGAACAGAGAAGTTGCTAGGAAGTAGAGAGGTCGAGGAATAAGAACTGTGGTATTCCCAATGTAGGACTTTTGATTTACAACCAGCTTTGTACACTTCAGATATCTTTGCATTATTTATGGTATTTAAATATTGTTATATCTACCACGGTGATCTTTAGATAAAAGAATTTAATATTTTATAAGCTATACATTTTATATACTTTATATATCTATACTCTACATATATTTAATATAGATTCAAACATATTTAAAACAGGATAGAATTTATAGCCACTTCTTTTATTACTGCATATTAGAAAATCTATTTAGCTTTAAAACAGAATTGTTGAATAATAGTAATCTTCAATGAATTAAATGATTGTGCATACCAATTTATGTATTTATGATTTTTATTAGATTTATTATATAGTAAAAAGTGTATTTAATAACTTATAGATATTATAAATATTTATTTATCTTTCTCCTCTCTCTCTCTTTCTCTTTAATACAGTTAAGTTAGGACAATTTATAATAATTAACTACAAATTAATAATTTATAACTGTGATTTACGTATATAACTGTCTATATAATTGTCTATAGAAAACTGATATTAAGGATTGGATTTAATCAGTGATTTATATTACATTACTATTGTTAATTATTAGAGGGATAAAAGAGGGGTAGGAGAAGGGACAGTGACTAGAGAAAGACCTAGAGTGAAAGACTTATGGTACTGTGGAATAATTTTTTCCAAAAGCTAAAGATGGCAAACACATCCACAGCTACCAAAACTGTAAAGAAAACACTGCCAATGATAGCTTACTCAGCAGGACAGAAGTTAACAACAGACATGCCAAGCAGTGAAAAACCAAAACCTGCACCAACCCTACAAAGCCTACAAGCCTCATTAAACATGATCCAGGAATTTATGATAAAAAAACAATCAATAACCAAAAACCACAAGGAAATGAAAGGTGGTCTAGGAGAAGTGAAAGATGATATAAAGAAGTTGGATGATAGAATGGGGAAGATACAGAAAACAATAGCCAAAAATGAGCAGAAAATAAAACTGGTAGAAGCAAGGACAGAACAAACTGAAAAGAAATTGGAAGCAACAGAAGAAAGACTGACAGCAACCAATAGAGAACTGGGGGAGGCAATAGTCCATTTAGAATTAGAAAGATCCTCTTTCTAGTTAAGATTTCAGAACATAGCAGAGACAAAAGATGAGGACCTACCAAAACTCATGAGGGAACTTCCAATTGTAAATGGACAAAAGTGAACTGAGGAATAATATAGATGAAATCTACAGAGTGCATACTAATTATGCACGAAAACATAGGTTGCCCCGTGAAATACATATAAGATTTGCAAAAAAAGCTGTCATGAAATCTACAAAAGAACAAGGGACGAACAGCTGATCCATAAGGGAAAAGAAATCATAACACTCAAACAGATACGGAAGAGAATCAGAGAGCAAAGAAGGAATTACCACTTTCTCTCCACACAATTGATAAAATATAAAATAATGTTCCATTGGTTGATACTAGAAGGCATGTTAATATCCTGGCAAGATAAGAAAATAAGGATTGACACCGTAGATAAAGTCCAGGAATTCTATGAACATTATATAGAGGAAGACTCAAACAGCAGAGTGGAGTTGGAAACCAAAAGCCAAGAGGAGCAACAGAGAGAGGAAAAAGGATTAGACCAAGAAGTGAGAGAGAGGATTGATATAGAAGTTCAGGAAAGAGAAGGAGTGAGGACAAGAAACCAAAGGGAAACAAAATTAAGTAGAGGAACAAAGGTGACAAACAAATAACAGGATGGAGGAAGAAGTGAAATTAATATCGGTCAACATAAATGGACTAAATTAACCTATAAAAAGAAGACAAATAATTTCTAAACTCCCAAAACAAAACATGGACAACACATGCCTACGGTAAGTTCATGTTAAAAAGGAAATGATAGTATCCTGGAATTTCCAAAGTTAGGGAAATTACATCTGGTCTTGGCCAAAACAAAGAAAAGGGGAATTGTAGTAAATATAAAGTATTGGCTAAAACCTAAGGTATACACAGATGAAGAGGGAAGAACATTATTAACTGAAGTATCAATAAAATAAAAAAGACTACTAATTGCAGCCATATACGCACCAAACACAAACCAGAAAGAATATTATGGTAAATTACATAAGCAGATTGCAGAATTGGAACTGGACAATGTATGTTTATTAGGAGACTTTAATGCGGTGGTAGACTCAAAGAAAGACTATAAAACAGATAATAAAAAACATATGTGAAAGGAGAACACTACCAAATGCATTCTTTGAAATGGTCCAAGAATTAAATCTAAAAGATGTCTGGAGGGAAATCAACCCGGAGAAGAGTCAATACACATTCTTTTCAAATCCTCATAATTCATGGTACAGGATTGACATGGTGTGGATGGACCCAGAAATGGGGAAGGATGTAGAGGAAGTAGAAATAACACCAAACGTGTGGACAGACCATAACCCATTAACAATCAAATGGAAAGGAGAGGCAAAAAGGAAAAAGAGATGGACCATGAATCAGAGGGTTGTGGGAAAAAAAACATGTTCAATATGTGGAAAAAGAATTAGGGTTTTTCCTAAAGGAAAACTAGAATGAACAGACAACTATTCAAAAGCTATGGGATATAACCAAAGCCTATGTGTGTGGCATTACGATAGCATATACAATAAGAAGAAACAAAGATAAAAAGAAATAATATAGAGAGCTCCAGGAGAAACTGGGGAAATTAGAATATAAAATCCAGAAAGAACCTCAAAACCAGGAAGTTAAAGAAGAAAAAGAAACAATTAAACATAGATTAAATTTAATTACACAAGAAGTGACCCAGAAAATTAGATCAAATAGACAAAATTATTTTTAAAATGCCAATAAACCAGGGAGATGGCTGACCTATAAAACTAAAAAAAGAAAAAGAAAAGAAATTAATACAGTAATTAGAGGATGAAGAAGGGGTGATACACCACCAAAAGGAAGAAAAAAAAGCATAACAGTAAGATACTTTCAAACCCTATATAGCCAAGAGAAAATAGAAGAGGAGGATATTAAAAGATGCTTACAGAAGAGGAATCTTCCAACCTTACTGGAAACAACAAAAGAAACACTAAATGAGAGAATAATGAGGCTAGAATTAAAAAGGGCAATCCAAAAACAAAAAAAATCAAAACCTCAGGTCCAGACAGAATTCTAGCAGAATTCTATAAAGAATTGCAAAAATCATTAGAGAACATATTATTAGAAATGTACAATGAAGTACTAGAACGAGCTAAGACACCAAAATCTTNTCATAATTATACTTATATAGTTTCCCATTTGAGGTTGAAATATAGACTCCTAAATATTTATTATATGATATAATGTTGTTTTCATCGTCTGATAAAAACAGTAGGTTCCTTTATAGTCCATGCAGAGAGCTGAACACAGAATCAGAATCAAGCTACAAACCAGGAATAAGGATCTATCATTTGTCATAGGACCAATGGAAACACCAAAATGTATATAAAAGTTCATCAAAGCATTGAAAACCTATGGGTCAATCAAGATCCAAGCTCAGAAGAGTACTCTATGTTCAGCAGGACTTAATGTCTGTCATTTCAGAGGATTTGCAGCTTGCTATGTAAGGATGCTATTGCTGAAATCCATTTCACTGAAATGGCATGTTTCAAGAAACATATACTTTTCTTGTAAATACATATATACATACAATTTTGCAGAGGTATCCTATAAGACATATTGTCTCCCGGTCCATTGTAAGAATTACTAAATTACTTGGTCCAATAATTCAGAATGTTGCTGTATTTTTTTTAAGGATAAGGAAATAGAAATTGCTTATATGCAAATATTTATACCTTCAATCATAAATCTACCTATTCAGAATGTATTCCAAGATTTCCTTGCCAACCACAGTAATTTCGTCTGTTGCTTTTGAATGAAAGCCTAATTTATACTAAGATGAATGTAGATTATACTGTGTTACACTGATCCATTTTTTTCAGGTTTAAAAAAAAACAGAGGTCTGTGAAACTACTTAAAAGATTGTTTGTGATTTTCAGGGGTTTCCTGGATCTGACAACAATGATCTTGGTCCTCCGGGTAAAAGAGGAAATCTGGGGCAGCAGGTATCCAAGCATTTGGAAATCATTAAGAGAATACCTAGCTATTTCTAAATATAATGTTATATATTTTGACTAGTCTGCATCTTGTTCTCTTATGATACTAAATCAGTATGTTATTTATTCATTTATTAATGCTGATTAAAATTCATTTTGAGACTCAGGTGTATCAGAAGTGTCAGAAATAAAAGGTGACAGCCACTCAATGACTAGCTAGTGGCTCCATCTTATTTCAGGTTTGAATGTTGGAAGCACACTATGTTTCATTGTTCTCTCTGGATTTTGGCAGGTTTCCAGAGTTAGTTGAAGCCAAACTGAATCAAAATGCCATTGGCAGTGTGAACTGAATTTGCAAGTGTCTGTTACTTGGCTTTTTCAGTCTGAACCAGATTTATATATGCACATGCTCATGCAATTATTTCAAAAGGAACCTTTTAATCAAGCAAGATGGAAACCATTAGAAGCAAAACAGCATCTGAAAANAACATTCAAAAATGCATCACAATTAACATTTACTGGTGCTAATTGTAGATATGGATTACTGCCAGCGTCCTAGGTATCAACCAAGTACCTTCTTAAAATATACAATGTTCCAAGTAGCACAGTTTTTTGCAATTCTGCTGGTGTTATTGCAGGAAGCTGCAATTTGTTGATGTATGTTATAAAATTCTTGGACATGGTATCAAGTGCCCTGATGACAATGAGTATCACTGTTACATGTTTCATCCATAATCACATAGTTTCAATGGCCAGGTCGCGGTATTTCATGATTTTTTTCCAGTTATTTTTCTTCCCCTCTGTCATCTCCTGGTACTGCAATGTCAATAAATAGTATGTTTTGGTTTTCGACAACTGTGATACCTGGTGTGTTATGTTCCAAATGACATTCCGTCTGTATTCGAAAGTCCCACAAGATCTTCACCTTCTAACTTTTGATAACTTTTTCCACTATATTGTTTTTATAAATAACTTGAGACAGCCAATATATATAATACAACTTCCTCTTTCTATTTTCCCTACAACAACCTTGTGAGATGGTTTATCAACATTAATAATGTGTGGACCTCAACTCCCAATTTCAGGCTGGCTGGAGAATTGTGGGAGTTGTGGTCCATGCATTTTCACTAATATTGAATCTATTTTTTCTCTTTCTTCTTTGCTAGGGTGTTTCAGGGTTACAAGGAATACCTGGACCCTTAGGACCTCAAGGTCCCCCTGGCCATCAGGTAAAATGGAAATTATTTTACTTTTGATGAACTAAATTGTTTGTGTGTATTGTGTGTGAGTGGGGAGGTAACTTGTGCATTAATCTTTCAACCCATTTTGAACAACCTAAAATGGATTGTTTGAATTGAACTGAATTGAATGCTTTATTTGGCAACTGTGATTAGACTCTGAAAGAATTTGTCTCCGGTTCAGAAGCACTGAGTGTACGTACAAAGCAACAGAATAATAATAACCACCACAATAATTTTGTCATTCTTGCAGAGTGAATCTTGCTTTAATGAACTTATTGGGGGAAAGAGGAGAATAATTTGTTATCCCCCATGTCGTTGCAATAATGTCAATTATTCAAAATATATTATCTCCACAATAATATTATACTACAAATCAGATCAACTGACACAAACAATGCACTTTGCACACTGATGCCAGTACACCATTCACATAAATTGCAAGACAATTAAGCATTCACCAAACTTCAAATTTGAATCATGTTTGCTGTAGATATAAATATGTCAGAATGTAGAAAGGTTTTAATTAATGAAAGAATGCAACCAACTGGAATTTTATTCCTTTGGATAAGCAAGTTTCCCAAAAGATTACTTGTGGGCCTGGATTATTTCATGAGACATGGGTTGGCATTTTAAAAAAAGAATCAAATGATTTCAGTTTCATCCGTAGAGCATGTAGGATGTCTGTGACTCTCTGCATAGTGATTTAGCAGACGTTACTTAAACTTGGATATGATTACAGAAAAAATACAAAAACTATTTAATTGGCCGCCAGTAGTATCTGTGGCAGTAGGTCCATTAGCTCTGTACTTGAAAAAAATGCCATTGTTCTGTGTCATAAATGTCTGGAATTCCATTTTATTTAAAAAGTAACTTTCAATATGTGCTTCTGAACGTAGGTTAATGCAGGAATCAAAGGTGAATCTGGTGCTAAAGGAAAAGTAGGCCATCTGGGTCCAAAGGTGAGCACTGCTGATTTTTCAATGATTTTGGGACAAGATACAAATTCATTTCTTTTTAAATAAAATGCAGCTAACATCATTATTAATGCAGTATAAATAATTGTCCAGCACATTCCTTTGTACTTGGTGCAATATAAGAATTGTCTTAAGGCAATTAATATAAGAATGAGTCTTAAGGCATATTTCTTCATGTTTGAACTACAAAGTAATCCTCACTTAACAGCCACAATGGGGATCAGCATCTACTTCAATAAGCAACATGGTCATTAAACAAGATATCACCATGATTTGTTATTTTAACTTTAATTTCTCCATTGACTCTGCTTGCCAGAATTTAGGTGTGAAGCACACATATTACATGACTAAGGACTCTATGATGATCATAAGCACCTGCCATTTCTGAAACACTCAAATCTCAGTCATGTGAGTGCAAGGATGTTGTAATAGTCATAAGTGTGAGGAGCAGATAAAATTACTTTTTCAATGCCATTGTAATTTTTTAATGATTGGTAAACACGGCAGCTGGGAAGATTACATGTACGGTATACTGTTTGCTGGATTTATCTAGAAAAGTTGGTTCTCTCCTTTAAAGTCCTAAATATTTGGGTTCTGGGTTCCCTCTTGCCTGATTAATGAGAACAGCAGTGATAATTTCTCCGCCCAGCTTCTATAAAATGCAGCTGATAGGGATATCGGGAAAGAACTACTTGTCTGAGTACTCAGGATGTATGAAATTTCTTACTCCAAGAAAGCAAAGTATTTTTAAAAATCCATATTCCATCAATACAGATTGGATTGGATTTCAGAAGTCTTTGGCCAGATTTTAGTTCGGCTGTTTTGGGGCCTGTTGTTTTTGTCCATTAGCATTTTTCTTATTTGTTTGTAAACATTTGATTATATGTATTTTGGGGAACTTACCTACAATAACCTATCATTTGAGTGGAAATGTCGGATAAAAAGTCTATTAAACAAATATAAGAAAGGTAGAATTTCATAAGAATTGCAAATATAGTCATGGAAAAGGAGAAAGATGGGGAACTATGCTAAAAACTATATTAAATAAATATAAGGAATGTAGTTTCTCAAGATTAGCAAAAATGTTGTGAAGAAATGAAGAAAGAGCTTTAGAGATTGTATATTGATCATAGACTCACTTAATCAGTTTTGACTGTTTAACTGTATACCCAACTTACCTATGGTAATCAGTGGTTATTTATTTATTTATTCATTCATTCATTCATTCATTCATTCATTCATTCATTCATTCATTCATTCATTCATTCATTCATTCCATTTATAGCTCACATTTTATCCCAGAGTTCAAGATAGCATACATAAAATTCTCTCTTTCATTGTTCCCATAATAAGTATATTTATGATATACTTGTAGAAGTATAAGTATGAGAAGAGTGAGTAAGGATTTTAACTTTGGTCCCTCTAAATCATATTCCAATATATATCACTATATTCACTAACATCCCTTTATTCAGGGGTGAAATTCAGCAGGTTCTAACAAGTTCTGGAAAATCAGTAGCGGAAATTTTGAGTAGTTCAGAGAACCGGCAAATACCACTTCTGGCTGGCCCCAGAGTGGGGTGGGAATTGAAATTTTGCAATATTCCCCCCTCCCCAGGAGTGGGAAGGTAAAGGAGATTTTGCAGTGTCCTTCCCCTGCCACGCCCACCAAGCCACACCCACAGAACTGGTAGTAAAAAAAAATTGAATTTCACCATTGCATTTATTATATGTTAGATGAGAATCATCAGAGTTGGGTTCACTGAACTTTGGTTTTGGAAAGGCAGCACAAATCTTTTAACTTCAAAATGCTGGCTGACTTGTAAATCTAAGATAGTGATGCTGACTTCCATGTCCAATCTTACTGGTGCAAAAAGTGAACATTTTGAACAGAGATTCTTGTCTTTGATGTTATCTTCCAATCGGCTAAATCCCACTGATTTCTCATGTGAATATGTTCTCTTGACTCATGGGTGGTATTTTTGTGGCATAATTCTAGGAATAAGTATTAATATAATTCTGCTGTACCTAAACGTTTTGTACAGAGAATTTTCAGCATTTATCATAGCTCATCCCTTCCTAGACAGAACAATGAGTCAGGATCCTGCTCCCTGGCATCTAGCTTTCTATGAAAAGGACAATATATTATATGGTTCTGTCATTTCATTACATGAAATCCTCCGAGTCTGAAGTATGTACAGTTAGACCCATGTTTCTTGCTTGGTGGGAACAAGAAAACTGCAATTAGATCATTATAACAGTAGTTTATGCTGTTGGGTGGCTAATATCTTTTTTATTCCATGAAAGGGTGAACAAGGTGATCCTGGAGAAAAAGGGCAAAAGGGACTACCTGGAACAAGAGGTTTTCCTGTGAGTTTTACCTGACTGCTTCTGAATTCCTCTCTTTTTGCTGGTTTATTTGACTGATGTTCCTTAATTTTTTGTTTCAAGTTCATGAACATTTTTATTGTTTGGAAGAGTTTTATCTTAGTATTAAGAAAATTTGTTTCATTTAAAGAAAAGAGCAGATTAAAAAATATCAACAGCAGGCTAAAAAAACAGAAGATGGCAGCCACAATCATGCAATTGAATGCATGCTCCTTTTAAAGTACATTGTGATGGAAATATAAAGGACAGAGCTGTAATCATATGGTTATGGCTGCCAGGTTGCTTTTTAAAATCTCTTATATGTGGTCATCTCAGGAGTACATGCAGTTGTCTTCTAAATTATTTTATGAAATAGTCCTATTTTTAAAGCACTGGTCTCTTCAAGTTCCCAATCCATCTTGTTTTAACTTGATGCAAAGCTCAATATTCTGAAAGAGGAATTGGTCACTGGGCTTAGGATATTTGATTTTGGGTAATAGCAAGACATTTGTTAAACTCTTTAAATGTTATTATAATTCATAATTCCTAACTGAATTCCTAACTGAATATTCAGTTAGGAATTATGAATTATAATCAATATTTAAAGAGTTTAACAAACGTCTTGCTATTATCAAAAATAAGTATAAAAATTCAGAATTGAAGCAAATACATCAAATACATCAATTTAGCTTTCAGAATTCAGGTTTCATATAGGTTATTGTTCTCTTTTATATGATCCTTAACATCTATGAAGAATCAGTGATCATAGCATAGTTGTGGCAGTATAGCTTTCTGAATATAGACAGTCTCCATTTAGAGACCACAATTGGGCCAGCAACTTGGTCTTTAAATGAAGTGGTTGCTAACTGAAACTATCACTATGCTTATGATTTTACTTTCTTTTACCATTCATTACCATGTGTAACTGCACATGATAACTAAAAAAAATAGTCATTGAACTAGGACTGCCTGTATGGGAACAAACAATTTGTTTCCAAGGCAAGGAGAAAAATTATGGTATTTTCAGACTTTTCATAGTTTCAATTCATGTAAAATACACCCAATTATTTGTTACATACCATATTTTTCCAAGTATAAGATGCACCAGAGTATAAGATGCACCAAGATTTTGAAGCAGCAAATTAAAAATAAAAAGTTTTTGCACTCTGCAGAGCTCCCCAAAACTGCCTGTTTTTTTCAAAAAATGGGCCCATTTTTTGTGAACAAAATGGCCATGCTTAGACTTTAGGAGGCTTATAGAGTGCTCCCGGGGGTTGAGGGACACAATTGAGCAATAAATGGCCCATTTTTCGCTCATTTCTGCCCTCCCCAGTCCCCAGGAGCACTCTGGAAGCCCTCTAAAGACTAAGCACGGCCATTTTGATGAAGGGGATGGAGTTTTGGGAGGCCAAAATGCTGTATTCTGTGTATAAGATGCACCCAGATTTTCACCCTCTTTTTTGAGGGAAAACCCCCCAAAATACAATGCTATTACAATCAATACACTTTTTGTCCCACATGCTTCTTCAAATGTCAGTGCTCCAAGGTTATATGGTGTCAATCAAAAACCAGATCTATTTATGAAAGGTATAAGTCAGCACCTTTATTGTCTTTTATCTTTATTACAAGACTCTCACTAGATTGTTTGTCTTCCCTTGGGAACAACTAGATAAGTTTCCATGAAGTTTGGAGTGGTAATAGCCAAGCTTGTGCCTCTTGCAACAGCACAAGGACTTAAGGCTAGTTCGCTGCTTGATCCTCCTGCTGGGAGTTTTCCAACACGTGCAGTCAGGGGAGGCAGGGGAGGCAGAGCCTCACTACTGTCATCATGAAAAGAAAAAAGATGTAAAAGGAAAAAGGCAAGAGCTGAAGTCAGGCTGAGCTAGTTGCTGCCAGAGTCACCATGGATGACTCTGCTTAGTGCTTAACTGTTTAAAANGCAGCCAGAGCTAAATTAAATTTCTCAATGCTTTTCATGCCTATTTATAGTCAGAGAGTATGACAATATTGATTGGCTCATAGATCTAGCCTTTGTGCATTTTGATTGGTCAACCAAAGCTCACTGCTGAATGGCTACTTTCGATCCTAACATTCTCAAAAATTCACGTTGTGTTTGTTTTAGTACACAAACTCACTCAAAACCTTAAAAAGACTTTGATTACATTAATAAAAATTATGCATCTCAATCTGACTATAGAAATTTTCATCAAAGTACTAATTTTGCATACTATCTATAAGTGAAAAGTTGATTAAACATGTAAATATAGCTTAAAACTGAAAGTGTGCACAATTTTTTCACGCAGCGGTATATCTATCCATAATCTCTTATCTTTTTTACTATTTCAACATATTGACTTTTGCTAAATCTCCATACTCCTCCCTTGGGATCTTGTATTCCCTTATATCCCTCATATTTAGTCTAAGTATTTCATTTACCTCAACATCTATTTCTTGCTATTGAGTCTCTAGAGCACCCATCAGTGATTCTTTCATCACTTCTAGGAGATCTTTCTCTTTATCCTCTTCTATATTTTGACCTTTTAGAGAGTAATCTACTTGTTGCATTTTAGAATTTTTTACTGTCCCTTCCATATCTTTATCTGCTTGTAACATTCATTGGCTTATCTCCTCTATTCTTTCCTCAGCTCCATCTGATTTCTTCTCTACTTTCTGGATTTTTCGTTCATCTTTCATTGTCATTTTCTAAGAGTTGTCTATTCTCATGTCTGTATCATGCATCAGTATCATCATCTTCCTGATTTCTTATCAAAGTTTCTTGAATAAATTGAAGTATCAGTGTTTCTTTTTGAAATGTATTTTTTTCCTGTTGAAACAGTTTGCATTAATTTAATGATGAACTTAAAATTACTCAATAATCAACCAAAATCCCAATGTCCCAATTGTCCAGAAACACCAAAAAAGTCAATATTAGTCAAATTTGCTCAGTTCCGGAACTGTTATTCAAAATTAACAATTCTTATAGTCCCCAAAGTCTTCCAATTTGCTCCCTTTAAGTTATCCAAATTTGTAAATCTTGTTTAATTTTTCTTCTTTTACCTTGTAGAATGTTCTATCAGATAGTATTGATAATCCAGAATGGCCCACCAAAGTTCCCCAAGTCTCATTAATCCATAGAATTGTGTTCAATTTTAAGGGTAAATCTTGTTAATTATAGTCCACATTGCCTTATAAATCTTCAAAAGGCTCACCAGTTATTCCCAAGCAGCCAGGAAGTAAGTAAATATGGATGGCCTTCCAGGTGTTGTTTGCCTTTCACTGTTTCTTTCTTCTTCATTTCCCTTTTGTTATCAAACCTCACAGTCTATCAAAGACTTTCCCCACCATATAATCGTATATCTTTTTTCACCAGTAGGTGGCATCCCAGCTCTAAGTTCCAGCATTAAATGAAACCAAAGTATAACAGCTGAGTGTCAAAAAAAATATTTGGAACCCCCGCCCCAATTTTTCTTCATGCAATTTCTTCCAACAGTCAGATAATTTTATTCACAAATTAGATCATTTTTCACAATACTACCTGTTCCCGTCCAGTCTTTCTATATTTTAAAACTGTAGTCTTCCATTAAACTTTATTCCTCTTTAGAGTCTGTAATCTCTCTCCGTGTTTTAGGTCACCGCTTTCTCAACATTTTGGAGAGTCTTTTTAAGAATTCTTTTATTTGGGTTCACTATCAAAGCAGTGGAAAGATCAAGAGAAGCATTTACCACCATATAGATCCATTCCTCCTCTTAATAAACAAGCTGGGAAATGACTCTAAAATACAAGTGGCTGCATCCATGCTCTGAACACCATGGGACTAATAGACTTAAACCATCCCAGATAATATCATGATACTGTGTCTTCATTGCTAGAATTCAAATCAGGGTAAATCTGAGTGAGTTTATCCTAAATAATCTTGACAGTGACATGCAGATGCTCCATTGATCCAATCATATAGCAAAATGTCGTGAAGCTCCCTCTGAAATTCATTAGGTGCATATGGAGTGATATAAAGGAAACTTGAAAACATTTCCTTACCTTGTGATCTGGGTTGATTTTAGTATGATTACCTTTTCATCTGCCTTACAATCTGGCTATTCACTGACAACATTCTTATAAAACCCTAGAAGGCACTGCACGCTTTGACATTTTTCTAAATCATTTCTATTCCTTCACTTTAGCAAAACATTATTAAAAAAATATATTTTCATTAAATTTTTATAGCAGTAGCAATAGCAGTTAGACTTATATATCGCTTCATGGACTTTCAGCCCTCTCTAAGCGGTTTGCAGAGTCAGCATATTGCCCCCACAGTCTGGGTCCTCATTTTACTCACCTCGGAAGGATGGAAGGCTGAGTCAACCTTGANCCCTCCTCCCAATTGAATGGCAGTATCACTTTTAGGGATCTGATACACTCACAATTGTAGTGTTAGAAATGTATGCAACATGTAGTGAGGAGGTTTAGAAAGTCAGGCCATATTATGAACATTTGCTTCAATCACAAGTCAGAATTCATCACGAATATACTGTGGAACTTAAAAAAGAGACAAATGTACTTTAAATAATCTTGCTGTCTTTTGCAGGGAGAACCAGGGGCTGATGGAGAACCTGGAGAAGCCGGCGAGAATGGTGCTAATGTATGACTACTTATATGGAGAAAAAATAAATGGTTATAGCAAATACTAGGGCTATGGTTAAGGAAACATTCTCTTTCCTTTCTCAAATGTAATATTTCTTTAAAATATTCTAAAATTAGCTAAAAGTAGTACAACATAAACTAAAGTAAAGTCATAATTTGCCAAAAGTTTATGGAGCCCCTAGTATCTCAGTAATTTTTGCATGGTATACCTTAGCTTGCAGTTCACATAGTGTCTCATGGATGTCAAGCATTAATGTTTTACAACATTTCTGTGAGTTTGCTGCAATGCCCTTGAGTGATGTGGCACATAGTTCAGCAACCACAGCATTAGGCAAATAGAAAAAAAACTTCTTAAGCTTAAAAAGCTTAAATCCTTTTCTGTGCAAGCCTGGTCTTTTCCTCTTTATGATCCCATTATATTTTTCTCTTCAGCTTTAAGATGCTTTAGTCTAAGAAAGGTGCATCTTTGGTCATTGTTAAAAAAAAAAAAGAATATATAATGGGAGCTATAAACATGGCAAAAATATCAAGACGGAATGGGAAAAGACCTGCTCATTTTTTATCTGCATCACCTAAGGCTCCTGCCCACTTCCTGCCACTGCTTGGTCATATAATCAAAATTCAGGCACTTGGCAACCATCATACAGTTTATGATGGTTGCAGCATTCCATGTTCCATGATCCCCATTGCCACCTTCCTAGCTGACTTTTGTCAAGCAGTCAATGGGGAAACCCTAATTTGCTTAACAATCAGGAGATAACTTAACAACTGTGTTGATTTGCAACAACCTCCGGGGAAAATGTCATAAAATGGATGCAACTCACTTAATGACTGCCTTGCTGAGCAACAGAAGTTCTGAGTCCAATTATGGTTGTAAATCAAGGACTGCCTGTATTTTATAACTTGCTTCAGTATGAGATGCTACAGCTGCTTTTTCTCTCCTCTTAGGGTCCTAGTGGCCAAAGAGGTCCTCCTGGTTTAATGGTTAGTAACCATTGCATTCATTTATTATTGCTTTACTGAGAACAGTCTTATTTTTCTTCTCTCTCTCTCTCTCTCTCTCCCTCTCTCTCTTTCTCCCCCCTCCCTTCCCCTTCTCATTTAGAAATGGATCCCAAGGAACTCATATTGAGTTCATGAATATTAATGAATTCTTTTATAGACTCCTTCCAGTGCCGAATGATTCCATATATGGGAAACTAATAATTTAAATGAAAACTGACTTCTTAAAAACATCCAATAACGGAGCACCCACGATTTCTGCAGGAATATTGCTATCATGTTACTCCTAATTCTTCTTTTCTTTAGACAAGTCAAATCCAAATCCTACAGCCATTCTTCATATGTTTTAGTCTCCAGCAGGGGTGGGATTTGATTTTTTTTATTACCGGTTCTATGGGCGTGGTCTTGCAGGCATGGCTTGGCAGGATGTGTGTCATGTAACTGAGTGGGCATGGTGAACTTGACATGAGTGATGTTGGATTGACTACACCCACTCAGTCACATGATTCCTGCCAAGCCACGCCCACCAAGCCACTCCCACAGCACCAGCAGAAAAGCTCCTGTGGCCTGCCTCTTTATGGTCCCCCCTCCCCCATGTTGAAGTACCTTAAAAGGACACTGCAGTCTGGCTGCCTTCCGAGCAACCCTGCTGCAATGCAAGCAGCAGGTCGTTCTCCTGGCCAAGTCTGGCAATGGATGTGTGGCTGTGCATGCGCACTGGCAGACAATGGAATGCGCGTATGCAACCAGTGTGAAGAACAGAACAGCGACGGGTGACAGGACTTCAGGCCTCTTTTTCAGCCTATAGTTTTCAATAGTGTTTGACGCAAGAAGTCTCCCAGCCACCACCTCTTTGCCAACTGGAACCGAGCTGGCAGCGGTGGCTGCAGGCTTGCACTGAAAACTACTGACCTCCGCTTCTCAAATGTGCCGAAAAAGAGCTTCAGTCCTGCTGCCATCACCGCTACTATTTATAACTTTATTTGCACCTAGTTGTTCGCAGTTCTGTTTCTTGATTATCTTTTCCAGGTATTAATGTTAGACTGATTCGTCTGTAGTTTTCTGGGTCTATTTTTTCCCTTTCTTGAAGATGGAAAGCACAGCAGCCCTTTTCCAATGCTCAGATACTTCCCTGGTGCTTCCCGGATTTTTTAAAGATATGGTACAATTCCAGGATTTTTGAAGGTTCTGATACATCTGCCAGCTCTTTCAGAACTCTTGGATGTAATCTGTTAGGTCCAGTTGATTTATATATGTCAAGGTCAGATAGGTGTTCTCTTACTATTTTCTTGCTTATTTTAATTCTTATTTCTAGTTTTTCTTTTACAATAGTTTTTTATATGTTAGGGTATAATTACTTTTTGCATAAAAATTGATGCAAAGAATGAATTAAGCAGCCCTGCTTTCTCCTTACTGCCTGTTACTTCCTTACCATCTTCTTTCTTTAGTGGATCTACTATTATCTTGGTTTTTTTCTTGTTATTGATGTATTGAAATAAACTTTTTAAAAATTATTTTTGACTTTTGTTGCAAGTCTTTATTTATTTTCAGCCTTTGCTTTCCTAACTTCATCTTTGCATTTTCTGACAATCTACTGATAATCAGTCTTAGTTATGTGTCCCTCTTTCCAATTTTTTTACTTGTCCTTTTTGTCTTTCCCTCTGTCAGAGAGATCTTTATGCAGCCATGCTGATTTCTTCTTGAATTTCTTGTTTTTCTTTTTCGATCATATTGTACTGGACTGAGCTTTTATGATTACATTTTTCAGACTTTCCCACACTTCTTGAGTTGTTTTGCCCTTTAGGATTTCTGTTCATGGAATCTTTCCTAGTGTCTCTCCGAGTTTGTTAAAATCAGCTCTTTAAGTTTAAAACACTGGATGGATTATTTTCTATTGCTTGTGTTGGCATCGTATTGAATTCTAGTATGACATTGTCACTTTTACCCAAGGTTCCAGAAACTTTCACTCCTTCTATAACTTCTCTATTAATAAGAATTAAGTCTAGTATAGCTTTACTTCTAGTTTCCTCCTCTGCCTTTTGTACTGTTGGCTAGATTAGTTAAAATTTGTTGAATCTCCCACTTGCTGCAGAGTTTGTCTCCCAGTTAATATCTGGATATTAAAGTTTCCCATTACTACCCTGGTATGCTTCCTACATACATTTGTTAACTGGTTGACAAAGAGTTAAGAAATGTATGTATTGTTTTTAGAAAAGCTGTTGAATTTCTCTATCATTAAAATGATCAAATCTTTAACTGCTAATAATTAAACTTTTTAAAAAGCATGATGCACAACCTGTCTAGATCTTAATTTGGCCATTTTTTAAAATAAGGGTGTAATTATTTGATTACAAAGTTTAACTCATTTCATTTTCATGTCTATATTTTGCCAGTTAGAAAGTTCCTTCCTTGAGTTCATTTTAATTAATTAATTTTACTTGACAGTATTTCATTTTGCTGAATATGATTGTTCACTATGAACTTAAAAATGCCAAATCCTTCATATTTCAAATAGTGAAAGTTTAATGACATATTCCATCCCATTGTTTAGTCATGGGCAAAGGGGCAGAATAGCGCGACTTTAACTTGCTTCTTTGACAACTCTTCTGTCTCGAAGAACAGGAGAAAAGAGTCTGGAATTTAGCCCGGCCACCATCCTTCTGCATTACAGANGCCAAAATGCTGCTAGTGGTATTGCTAACATGGGCTGAGGAGGAAAACCTAAATTTTCTGAATCCTGGTGTGTGTGTGTGTGTGTGTGTGTGTGTTTGTGTGTGTGTGTGTGTGTGTGTGTTTGAAAGAGTGGGGAGGTAGGGAGAGAGGGAGGAAGGAGGGGAAGGGAAAAAAAAGAAAAAGAAGAAGAAAACTTACTTAGCAAAGAGAAAAACAAATGCTGTCCCTTTAAATCACAACTGGGCATGCCCTGCTGTGGAATTCTGGGAGTTGAAGTCCACAAGTCTAAAAAAATTGCTGCCCCACCAGCCATAAAACTCACCGCATGTCACTGGTCCTGATCCAGTGCATTTGGCTGCTTGAGATGAAGCAGAACCTTTCTATTTAACATGTATGTTATTTTAGATTTATTAAGCTATTTTGGTACCCTAGATGAAACATCCAAAAATATCTCTATATCTGGCAGTCATAAACAAAGTAATAAATGAAAGAAATATTCATTCCTCATATTTTCTTGTCACCTGGAACTAGCTGATTAAAAATGTTGTCTCATGTCCAATACTGCCTGGACAAGTCCCTGCAATTTTCTTTGCAAGGTTTTCAAAAGTAGTTTGCCTGAGAGAAAGTGTCTAGCCCAAAGTCACCAGCTGGCTTCATGACCATGGGAGGACTAGAACTTGGGATTTCCCGATTTTTACTTTGACGCCTGAACTACTACACCAAACTAGATCTCATTGGCTAATGTTATGCTTGCCCCAATAGAATACCTTAACATTAAGTAGCCATTTATTTTTTCCCATATTTTATAGGGCTTTGATGGTAGTAATGGCTATGGCCTTATAGGAAGAAAAGGCACAAAGGTAAGAATCATACATTAGTCTTTCTGGACAAATAAACATAATCCAGTGATAATACAAAACATTAAGGCTGTAACTATTTGAGCATACGTCTTATGGAACCCTCAATAAAAATAAATTGGAATCAACCTACTAAAAGCCTTTCTGATTCCATGGGTCTTAACATTCCTAGTGATTGTGTTTTGAGTGGCTTATGAGGATCTAATTCTTCAGAAGTAAGTAATTACTATATTAAAATAGCTGTTTGTGTAAGTAGAAAATGGTTGTTTTCATTTGCTGCAAACACAGGTCTCATTCCATGCTTGCAAAATCTACAATCAACTATCCAAAACACAGGTCTATACATCAAAACCGTTTTATGGCAGGCAAGAGAAAGCAATAAAGTTCAGGTCACCAATGGAGAACTAAATTAAAAACCCTGTACATTTTGCTGAAGTAGTCATGGAAATCAGTCCCATTCCAAATTAACATTAAAATGTTAATTCTATCTAACATTTATTAGAATAAGCTCCAGTTTTGACCATCAGGGTTTTCTGTAGCAAAAGCAAATAATTTTAGGATACCATAAAATGAGATGAGGAGGAAATATAAACAATTCTAAATTCTTATGGCATTATAACTGAAAGATTTGTGTTTGGAAGAAACTAAGCCAATCCCTCCTATATCATAGACAGCATTCCAGTGACCATCTAATTTATACATCAGGAAATATAAAAAAATTCCTTCATTAGAAATTCCTTCTTAAAAGACTGAAAAAATGTTTTTACCAGCTGGATAGACTCTATGATCTTTACATGAACTATTACTGCAGACAAAGACTAGCTAACTGTTTTATGGTTTGTTTTTAAATGGGCCTCTAGCAGAAATAATTGGATCTGCACTATTTTACCTTAATTGCCAAAGTAATGTCCTATAATGCTGTTGTATACTAACATGTAAAGAATTGCACAGAAATATTTATATTCTGCATCTTAATTGCAAGAGACCTATTTGGGCAATATTTTCCATGAAATGTTGTGTATTTGAAGAAAAATGGTGGTTCAGCCATGATTGTGTTCCATTTGTTCTGTGCAGGAACTACTGCTATTTTTCTTTATGTTAACATTGTTAACCTGAATAATTCTTTAGTATGTCAGTATATAAGCAATTCTAAGTATAGAATTTAGAAGTATAGACATATAGGTGACTATATTCTGTCATGTCCTTTGTCCTGGAGATATGGCTTGCAATAAGTCTTAAATCAGATGTATTTTAGGAAAACCTATTTTGTGGTAGACAATTGTTGAATCAATTAAAAGGGTAACCTATTTCAGTTATGGATTTAGCTCTCCAAGGTGGCTGTTGAGTAAAGCAATGTTGGTGCCACACATTTACTTAATTAAAGAATAATTAAAAAAGAAGAATATACATTGATTTTTTTCTTAAACCATGAATAAGCAATTTAAAAACCAACATTGTATTTTTGTTTTACTAATCTCAGGGATTGACTGGATCTCCTGGAAACCCTGGACAACAGGTATGTGTCAACTCGCAAAGCATCCCTATCCTGCTCTCGTGTTGCCATAGGGGATGGGAAACTGATGGAGCAGCATGGCAGCCACAAACAGAAGCACATTCCAGGCATATCTTTCTCAAGGCTGTCTCCCCAGTTACCCACATCAGTCAGAGGGGGAATGATCTCTATAGCGCGTGAAAGTACTCCATTGGAGAATGTGATTTATGACACACACATTTATGAGGGGGGGGGGAAACAGGGTCATAATTGGGTCATAAATTACGTGGGGTCAGAGTTGGCTTCACTTGGGTGCATGCCAGGGGTGGGTTTCAAAAATTGTTCAAACCTACTCTGTGGGCGTGGCCTCCTTTGTGGGAATGGCTTGCCTCCCATGTGACCAGATGGGAGTGGCCTGCCACCCATGTGACCTGGTGGGAGTGGCCAAAACGATGTTATTACTAGATATTACTAATTACTAGATATTATTAACATTACTAGATCATTATTAATGCATAGATAACTGCGGGACATTACACACCCACACACCCCCACACACAAACTATGACAGTGCTAGGAAAACACCAAAAAAATAAGAATCCCCCCCCCCCAAAAGATTGCTAATGAAACCAGTTTTTTTTTCCTAAGCTTAAGGACAGGAAAGACAAAGTCACTGGAATAAAAACCATCAAGGCAATGTGG